TCGGGAGCGGCCCCTCCAACGGGAGATGAGGGGCTGGGGCCAGGCCTGCAGCCCCCAGCCCCTCTGCCAACAAAGGGTTTTTCTCCCATCCCCACCTGTTTGTGCTGTTTCAGCAGCCTCTTCAGCTTCTCCTTCTCCTCCTTCTCCCTCTGGCAGTCGTCCTTGGAAGCTCGCAGCTGGGAGCAAGGGGGGGGTTGTGTAGAGCCCACCCTGTCACCCCCTGTGATTGTGGGGCGAGGGTTGCTGCAATGCCCTGCACTGGTCCCCCCACATCAGATCCCCAGGAGAGGGGCAGAAGGAAGACACAAGTGAAAGGAGATGCTCTGGCAGGGACAAGCAGCAGCAAAACCATCCCTCTGGACTTTCTGTCCCACCCGAGCCCCTGCTCTGAGGCAGGTACGGGGGCTATGACACTGGGGACAAGCACCTCTGACAGACCCAGGGAGGACACAGGGTTGCCAGAGTGCTGCCAGTGGCACTCAGCGCTGCTCACCTGGTTGTTGGAAAGGACCAACTGCTTCTGCAGCTTTTCCAGCTGCTGCTTCAGCTCTTCCTTCTCCTCATTCATCCTCTCCCTGTCACTCCGCTCCCGCTGGAAGTCCTCCTCGAAAATTTTCACCTGGCAGGAGGGAGGGATGTGAGTGCACCTGGCTGAGGGCACACATGTCCCCCAAGCACTTCTCATCACTGTGTTGCCATCCCTGACCCTACCAGCTACGCCAAGTCCCAGGCACATGGGTTGGGACAATGGCCCACAGCTGTGGTCCTTCCAGCTGAAGGCCTAGAGGGTGCTGAGCTCAGTCCCCAACTCCCCACCACCACAGCCCTGATGCTCGCCAGGGCTGCTGGGCTGCTCCTGGCCACATTGGGCTCTTTGCCGGGGAAGTCCAGGATCTGCAGCTCCCTCCCTGTCTCCAGTGGCTCCGTGTCCTGCCCTACCTGCTGCTTGAGGAGCTCGTTCTGGGTCAGCAGCTCCTGCTGTGGCACCTTCCCTGCCGGCTCCATGGTGCTGGCAAAGATGGGGGGCGGAGAGGCCTGGACATTCAAGGCCTCCTCTAGTGCCTAGAGAGGAAGAGGAGGAGCAGGGAAGGGGGTCAGAGCAAGGTGCTGTGCCCATGTTGTCTCCAGAGGACCATGGGCACATGCCCAGCATGGGAACCAGGTGTAACTGGGCAAGAACAAGAGGGACTACAGATCCCTGCCCTGACCCCCCTTTCCTGGGAGCCTTAGAGGAATGTGGTGGACATTGTTTGACACGAGCTCCTGCCTGGACAAAGAGCTGGGCAGGAGGGGGT